ATTTTGCATAAAATACATCATTATGCTATAATCATATAATATCAGTATGAAGAATATGGGGTGCAGTGTCACACTCTTTATTTGCCTTATTGTTCTGGACTAGCATTGACTATTTTTTTCTTTTTCCCAATCACTGTCTAGCTCTTATTTTCCTACTACACCTCTTCAGAGAACAACTAGAATGACAATTGTTTTGAAAGCATAATCCAGACACAAATAAGTATTACAGTGTCTAACAGGTTCACCAGCTAATTTAGCCCTTGCGCTGAGAGCTGATTAAATTGCTCAGTGCTTCTTTTGAGGTTAATCCCATTGAAGTCCAAAATATCTTGATAGTTAAATCTGGGGATGGCATATATCTGCCCTTCCAAGCTCTTGCACTTATAGTAAAGATTCAGTTTGCTGTAATTGTTAACTTGTTGAACTTTTTTTTTTTTTTAATTAGAAATCCTGTTTTAAGTATAGACCAAAGTAACTTCCCTCTACTAAGAAAAAGAGGCTTTGAAGAGCACTGTAAAAATTGTTTATTCTTTTTTTCAGGAATTTATGTTGTTATTACCTCTTCCTGCCACCATATGCTTTATAATGAAAAAAGTAGGTTTTGGAAGGTGGTGTGTGTGTACATTTTCTCTTTTTAAAAAAAAAAAAAAAAAAAAAAAAAACTGTTAAAAGAACATTATTTAGGTTGCAAAGTCAAGCACTCAAAAGTTAGGAAAATCAGATTTAACGTTGTCTGAACAACCTTAATTCTGCCCCTTTTTGCATATACATTGTGATAGTCTAACTGCATGGTCACATAATTTTTTCACAGGATCCCTGCCTACTCCAGTGTGCAGGATGGATGGTGTTCAGGGAATGAAGCAGTTATTCAATTTTTCACTTTTTTATCCTCAAGGGTCAATTTATGCCTCTGTCTCATTGCACACCATCCAAAGCCTGCACTGAATATGGAATTATTAATGACCACACAGACATTTCCATAGCACTCATCACTGTAGTATCTGAACCTCACAAATATTAATGAATGTATAGTCAAACTCCCCTGTGAGATAGCAGACTATTGTCCTCCTGTTACATGCAAGAAACCAAGGCATAGGGAAATAAAAGCTAAAACTTGCAAAAGTTTCTGCTAATTAGAGGTACTGTAGTGACTGTCCTAACTTGAAACATCCACAGCCTGATTTTTTTTTCAGAACACTTAGCATTTTTATATTATTTCATATGTTCAGAGCACTGTTCAGACATTGACTGAATAAACCTCACTACAACCTTGGAAGGTAGATGTGAAGTAGTATAATATCTATTTTACAGATGGGGAACCTGAGACAGAAGGGATAAGTGACATGTGTAAGACCAACAAGAAATCAGTAAAAGACCCAAGGTTAGATTTAAGGATCTCCTGACTTTGAATACTGTGCTTATACCTCCAGACCACACTGCCTTATTATCAAAATTTCCATAACTTCCATTGGCTTAGTTGCAGTTATGAGTGCCCAGACCTTCTGAGAATCAGGTCCCAGGTGTCAAATGGAGAATACACAAATGATCACCTGTGAAAAATCAGTTACTATATTCTTTCATGTGCAAAATTGTAATTTTTTATTGTACAAATTGTGCAAAATGTATGTGGCTCTTGATGATTGACTACATGAGAATTACTAGCACTAAGCCCTTCTAGGTCTTCAGGGTAGGGCAAACTAAGTGCAGATTACTGGAAGTATATGTCAGGAATGTAGCAAGAATATTCGTATCAAAAACAATTTTATGGGTTTAAGTGGCAAAGATTTATTTTAAGTGTTCCAAATACATAATTTACATGTGACCTGTGTTTTCTTGACATCAAGATGATCTTTTAATCAATCAGCTAAACTCGCCTCTAATGGAGTCACTGTTAGGAGGACTATGGCTTATGGTCAAATGACTGCTTTATTTTCTTATAGGCTAGTCTGAGCTAGTACCTCATCTCTCTGTTGTAGTTTTTTCATGCAGGACTTCTCACTCTCTCCTTTTAATTCTGTATTTACTTGAATTACATTTTTTCTGGTGGGCAGAACCACTTGCTGTAAGACACAGCGAGCTCTTTTAACAGAAATGTAAGGTGTTGTACTAGATATACAGCATAATGTGGTAATTGGCTGAATGGATGTTTTGTCTAATTCTCGTGTCCCAATTTTTCCCCTCCACCCCCATTTTTTGGCAATTTTGTGTTTTTTCTGGTTGGTTCTAATCTATTTTGTGCGATTTTTCTGCTTTCCTGGACATCTGTTCATTCTTCTGTTCTGCCTCCCAGTTGCTCCTTCATTATCATTGTTGATCCTTAGTGTCCTCTTGTTGGACACTAGAGAAAGTGTTCCTTCTACAGTCAGTAAAGCACTTGTTCCTTCAGCACTTCAAGTAGTGCTGTATAGGCTAACCACTTCATTTGGACAGGCAAAACATCAGGGGGACCAGGAAGAATGGTGCTGTGGTCCGGTGGCCAGGTTACCCACTTCAGAGACTGCTGTATATTTTCCTTTCACAAAGCAAAGAGAAACCCATGGCTGACCCATCCCCGCTGACTCAGGCTTGGTCAGTGGGACTGTTTCACTGCTGTGTAGACTTCAAGGCTCAGACTGGAGCCCTGGGACCCTCCTACCCCTCAGGGTCCTAGAGCCTGGGCTCCAGCCTGATCCCGGAAGTCTGAACGGCAATAAAACAGCCCCACAGCCTGAGCCGTGCTAGCCCAAATCAGGTGGCAGTGGGCCAGCTGACGGTTTTTCTTTGCTGTGTAGACATACCCAGTCTCCCTCCACCACAGTCACGTTCTGCACTCTTCATACATGTTCATCAATAGAAATGGCCCCAGCTAAGCAGAATTTTGCAGGCTTAGCTTTATGGCAGACATACATGAACTGTTATACATACAAAAATCCAGAACGGTCACCACAAGGCTTCTGTAGATGTGGCTGTAGGCACGTAGTTCTTTAAGGTGCTGTCAGGAAAACATTTCTGTCTCACTGTACTGCCTGCCAGTTCACTTATCCTTGGACAAATAAGACTTGCTAAGTGTAACTAAATTTTTTGTGTCTTAAAATTGCTCCTAAGTTGTCTAGCAGTCATTTTATATTAGGAAACAATAATATTACTTAATAAAAGTTGTCTTTGATATCTATGAATTTTGCCTCTCCCTTACACTGGCCCTGGAGATGCTTCATACTAATAAAATTAGTGCTGAGACATCAGTTTTATATATAGGTCCCACTCTTCTTGTTTAAACCAGTGAAGAGAATGCCTTCACTTTGTAAACAGCATATGAATTGTTAGCAGGGTTGCAGAAAGATGGCACAAGTGACCATTGAAAATTGAGCTCTGTGATAGTCCTATTGGATGCTAGAAAACCTTTTATCTTTGCTATGTTGGTCATACCAATATACGGGAAGCCTCAGTGCATCTTTATAAGTTCAGTCAGGGTTAATTGTGTATTCAAACTAGCTACAATTTTGAGGCTGTGTTAATATATCAAGAGCCAGGTAGGTTACCTACTTTTTCCCCCTGGAGAGATAGCAGTTCCAATTGTTAGTAGTATTGGTGGGATTGTTCTGCTCCTAACTACATTAAAAGAAATAAAGCAATATTCTTTTGTAAGAAATTCCTTTTGAGAAATGAATTGCGTCATGAAGAACCATGCAAGGTAACGTCTTCCAATTATTAATCCTGCACTCTCAGCTGTAAATGGCACTTGTTTTGACAGACCACTTAAAACTTAACTGCAGTATTTTAACCATCAGATTGTGTAGTTTTAAAATCGATCAAATACGATTTTTTTGAGAAGATTTTTGACATCCTTGTGGTTTTTTCATTAAAAAAATCTGGATGCAAAATATGTTGAGTTGGTAGTGTATTTTAAAAAAAAATGCAATACAGTTTTTTCTGTTCCCTATGTTTGGAGATGTACAATAGGCTCAGATTTATAGTAGTTCCCAAAATAAATATTTTTATAATGCATTTAAGCTTTTTAAAACCTTTGGCATAAAAATAAAAGATGGGATTTTTCAGAAAAGCTCAGCATTTGGCTAACTGTGCTCTCATTGACGTCAATGGCAATTTTTACCAATTTTACCATTTTTATTGGGGACAATTAGGACATTGCTAAGTGCTTTTGAAAATCCCACCCAATGTATCATAATTTAAAAAAAAAATAAAGGCGACTGGGATGAGGAGTAGTTTACATTGAGTAGGATGATGAAAATAAACACTGATCCAATTTTTGCTCTTCAACGGTAAAATTCAACATTCAGTTTAAAAGGAAGAGAGTAAAAAGGGATTGTTACTAGCAGGTTTACTACTTTGGATTCTCTAGATTGTGGGCCCAGTCCTGGAAGGGACTCAGAATCCTTAACTTCTATCAACTTGAGAATAGATATCTTGATCTTCTGTGGGAACTGAGGATGCCCAGCATCTCTCATGTCCTTCAGTTTCAGCAAACAGAGCAACTTCTACAATAACCAGTTACTGCTTTGGCTGACTTGATCAATTTCTGTGAGAGTTTTAGAGCAGCAGCAAACACTTTGTGCAATGAATATTGAAACTATTAGCATGATGATACACATTTGGTATCTGATATTTATATTCTATGCTGCAAGTTACGATTTTTGGGGAGAGGAAAAGAGGATGGGTACCGTCGCTATCCTTATGTAAGGAACACCAGAGGAAGTCTAAGTTGCCAGGAGTATTAGAGCAGCATTATAAAAGGTTTCTAGGTGAGCTAGATGAACCAAATCTAGTCGGAGTCTGAATTCTCTGACTTTATGGGAACCTTTATTACTTGTCTCTTCTTCCTGGGGGGAAAAAAATATTCCCTTCATATTGGTTGGAATGGTGCTTTAGTTGAATGTTCAGCCTGGATTGTTATTAAAAAAGCCTGTAGAGAGGGCAAAGGGATCCAAAACACATTGTGTTTTTATTAAACTGGGGCAAAAAGCCAACAAGAACTTCACTAAAAATGTAACATTTTTCCACAGGGATACAGTCTCTCCTGTGTTTGCCATTTTATAAGAAAAAGAAACCCACAATCTGCAGGCTGCAACTCACTTTCCTGTTACTCAACCCATTGATGGACAATAATTTCTTTTTCAAAATTGGAAAGGTAAAAATGATAAACTAGAAATGCAGTTTTTGAGCTGAGTCAGCTGTGTTCAATCTTCTGTCTGTTGAACTTCCATAATAAAGTAAGAAGGTGTTCCCTGCAGCATCTCTTTCCATTCGCAACCTGATTAATTGCATTTTTTCTAACATCTTTCTACAACAGCCTAGAAAACTGACTTGTTTTCTGCTCCTTATAGATGAAGCATACACATATGACCTGTAATTGTCACTCCCTCCTATATTGATGTTTGCTGGCTGTTGCCCCCTCAGTTTCCTATCGCTAGCCTGTCCTAGCCCTCTCTTGTTGACTGAACTGATTGGTTTGGATTTTATGCTGATTTTTCACTGAGTAGACAGGCTCTAAAACTGCTTAATTCATAAGTGTTCCTTTGCACTAGTGCTGTAGCCATGTTGGTCCCATGATATTAGAGACAAGGTTGGTGATGTAATACCTTTTATTGGGCCAGCTTGTGTTGGTGAAAGAGACAAGATTTTGAGCTATACAGAGCTGCTCTTTAGGTATGGGAAAGGTCATAGCTAAATACAAAGTCGAACAGATTGTTTAGAGTAAGTAGTTCACAAGTACTATAAGAGACTATTCAAGGTGAAGTGGCTTGTTAACACCTCAATAGAAAAGGACAAAAAAGGGGGTGTTAGTGGGTTACAAACAGTTGTAATAAGTAATAAGCAATAAATTCACTGCCTTTATTAAGGGCATATCTACATGTACAGTGCTGCAGCTGCATTGATGCAGCACATCTGGTGAAGATGCTCTATGCCAATGGGAGAGAGCTCTCCCATCAGCATAATAAAACCACCTCCGCGAGCGGCAGAAGCTCTGTCCACACCAGTGCTTTTGTCAGTGTAATTTTATTTCGCTCAAGGGGGTGGTTTATTTATGTCCCTGAGTGACATAAATTCTGCCGACCTAAGCTGTAGTATAGACGTAGCCTTAGACCAGGATTTTTATTGTCTAGCAAAGTTATGAATGTAAGTTCCCAGGCTTGTCTCTTGAAGATGTTGTTGTAGATTCCCTTTGAGGATGAGAGCTTAGAGGTCAGATAACAGAGTGATTGTTTTGTGAACAGTGTTTGTGGTGGTGTCTCTCATAATTTTTCTATGTGAGCTCATTTGAAGCATAGTGATTATCTCATTTCACCCACGTTGTTGGGGCATTTAGTGCACTGGGTGAGGTATACCACATGTGATAGGCATGTGTAAGACCCATGGATCTTGAAAGGTGTGTTCTGAGGTGTATTGACCCTTGTACCAGTGGAGATATGTCTGCAGATTTTGCATCAGTTGTTACAGCAGGATTTGGTGCCACTTTGAGTTGGTGGGTCCTTGTTTGTTGGGAGCTTATTTCTGATGATGAGCTTGGTGAGGCTGATGAGGGGCTTGTATTCAATGTAGGGATGTAAAAGGTTAAACAGTAAGCATTAGGCTTACTGTTAACCAACCTTAACCATTAACCCCGGAGTCCCCACGCCAGTTGGAGAAACCCCAGCCATGCCGGCTGGAGCAGCCCCGGCTGCGTCAGGCCGCCCACCCAGAGGGACCCCAACCCCGGCTGCGCCAGAGTGGCCACAGCCTCGGCCGTGCCACGCCAGCCAGTGGGGCCCCAGCTGTGTCATGCCAGCCAGAACGACCCCATCCTCCGCCATGCCAGGCCGGCCGTAGCTACTTCGGTTAACTGGTTAAACAATTAAAATTATATTGTTTAACCGGTTAACTTTTTTTAACTGATTATGAACATCCCTAATTCAGTGCTGATCTTAGGCAGTGGCAGTCCTGCTAGTCGGCTGTCACCCTTTCCTTCATTGGAGTTCTGAATGGGACGGTGATCCATTTGTGATTGACCAGCTCCTGCTCAGCTTTGGTGTATCTTTTAAAGTCCATTCTTGATAAAGGCAAGGTGACTCGTATCACTTGGGCTAGTTCCCATCTCTTGTTTATAATTTTTCCTGCAGACACTGAATATAATTTTTGGGAAGGTAAAAAAGGGAGGATTTATTTTTTTTTGGTATTAGCCCTGTCACAACCTGGCCTGGTATCAGTCTTTTTTGTAAGTGAACCCAATCGTTTTGCCCATGAATTTCAACTGTAATCAGGGCTGGGTCTATGGGGCAGACTCCTAGGCCTCTGATCTCTTACCTGATGTCTGCTCCTTGGGATGTAGGACTTTGCAGTCTGAATGCTCTGGCCCTGGAACCAGTACCTTAGACCTCCCTGAGCCCCTCCATTTGCTTACACTCCATCAGAATTTCATCAATGCTGTGGGCACTCTGGGCTTCTAGTTAAATCCCTCCAGTCCACATATTTATTCAGGGGACACCATCATAGGACCTAATCACATCAGCCACACCATCAGAGGCTCATTCACCTGCACATCTACCAATGTGATATATACCATCATGTGCCAGCAATGCCCCTCTGCCATGTACATTGGCCAAAACAGACAGTCTCTATGCAAAAGAATAAATGGACACAAATCAGACGTCAAGAATTACAACATTCAAAAAACAGTCGGAGAACACTTCAACCGCCCTAGTCACTCAATTACAGACCTAAAAGTCGCAATTCTCCAACAAAAAAAACTTCAAAACCAGACTCCAATGAGAAACTGCAGAATTGGAATTTATTTGCAAACTGGACACCATTAAATTAGGCTTGAATAAACACTGGGAGTGGATGGGTCATTTATACAAAGTAAAAACTATTTCCCCATGCTAATTTTTCCCCTACTGTTACTCACACCTTCTTGTCAACTCTTTGAAATGGGCCATCCCGATTATCACTACAAAAAGTTTTTTTCTCCTGCTGATAATAGCCCACCTTAATTGATTAGTCTTGTTAGAGTTGGTATGGCAACACCCATTTTTTCATGTTCTGTGTGTGTGTGTGTGTGTGTGTATATATCTATATCTTCCTACTGTATTTTCCACTGCGTGCATCTGATGAAGTGGGTTTTAGCCCACGAAAACTTATGCCCAAATAAATTTGTTAGTCTCTAAGGTGCCACAAGTACTCCCCATTCTTTTTGATGATACAGACTAACATGGCTACCACTCTGAAACTTGAAAAATAACAAAAGTCCTGAGATGCACCCTCCCCATGTTAGGTCTCACCCCATCTGTAAGGCTGAAGTTAATCAGCACTTATGCTTGGCAGTCCCTCCTGCCCTCTCTCCTGCATGTTCTGCTTACATATGGCAATGGTTGGCATCCTGCTTCAGAGCAGCTCCCCTTCTTAGGTAAAGTCTGTCTCCTTATGCCATACACTCAGAGGCTGCACAAGACAATCTGCAGCCCTAGCTTGAAACGTCAGTGTACGGTCCCTCCACCCCCATAAGCCTAGGGTGGCAGATTTAGCGCTGCCACCCCTCTGACATGATGGGAGGTGGGGGAGTGACATTGTGACCTGGTATGTGGGATGCAGTGCCACTCATGGAGGGTGACTGGGCTAAATCTACCACCATAAACAACTGCATAGTTTGCTTACAGCTAGAGCAGCCCCTGTATGTGCTCAACTGCAAGGCTCCAGCCCCCTCCCCAGTCAGTCTTGCCTCACCTGTGTAGAAAAAAGGATTGTTCCAGGGAGTGGGCCAGTAATTGAGACATTCAAAGTTGATAGCACCACACTGATGTCTTGATTGATAGTGATCCTTCAGTGGGATGTCAGCCATCCTGCCTATGAAAAGGGCTTATCTGTAATGTAACTTAGTAGGCTTGACTTGCACAAGTTTGCAGTGGTGTCCTAGCTGTGTTGGTCCTAGGGTATTGGAGAAACAGAGTGGGTGAGGTGGTCCATTTATTGGATCAACTTCTGTTGGTGATAGAGACAAGCTTTTGAGCTATGCAGAGCTCTTTTTCAGGTCTTGTCTTTTTCACCAACAGAAGTTGATCCAAAAAAAATGTTGCCTTACCCACCTTGTTTTTCTTGAGCAAGTTGAGACGTGATCAGCACATAATACAAAATGGAGATCATAGTAAAAAAAAAAGGAGTTCACAGTTGGATACAGATATATTCCACTTTGTCACAAGCCCCACTGCCCCATTTATCTTCTCTCTTTCACGTAGCCATCTGCTACTCCATTTCACACCCCATCCTTTGCCTTCTCTTCTACATCTTGCACTCCTTAAATTCCCCTGCCTTCTCCCCTCCCCCACAACCCTTTTCATCTTGTCTTCTGCACCATTTCCCTTCTCCTGAAATGGCTAAAACGATAGCTCTCATTTTCTGTAAGACCATTCTCTGCAGCTGTCTTCACTAGGAAGAAAGGTCTGTTCTTAACTCGAGTTAGCAAACTTGAGGTAAAAATCTTAGTGATGACAAGCTAGCTTGTAGCTCTCCCATGGTCAAAGTAAAGCCATAGTCTTTAAGTAACTCAAGTTAAGTACACAGCTTTTTTGAACTTCTGAAGACAAGGTCTGCCAGGCAACATCTACTTGAAAACTGCTCAGCAGAATACCTTCTGATTTGTTAGTGCAGAAGGTAAAGATCAGGCTTCCAGCAGATAAGGTAGAGAGTCCTGCATTTCCCACTGGCAGAATGAAGAAACTGCATGTGAGGTGAAATGGGGGAATTTAGCTAAAGGAGTGAAATAGTAGGAGGGGGAAGAACACTATATGTCGTTGTCATCATCACCACTTCCACCACTCCCATAACTGCATTGGTCACTGGGGCACCATCACTGATGAGCAATCAACCAATTGTATCCACCCCTGACGATTGTGTGTCAGTGCTTGAGTCTCTGCGAAATCCATTCTTGTTCACTTTTATATTGCCAATCCATCTCTTCTTCTGTCTACCTCTTCTTCTCTTCCCCTGTCCCTTGGAGGATGATCTTGGATAGGCCCGATGATCTTGTTACATGGCCGTACCACTTCAGTTTGCGCTTTTTCACAGTCGTCAGGAGGTCTTCATATGACCCGCGCATTGGGTGATGATGTTGCGGACCTCTTCATTAGTGACATGGTCCAAGTAGGAGAGGCCCAGGAT